CATAAGAATATGATGTAAACTTGTTTTTTAAAAGGCATCTTTGGTTTGCGTTAAAACAACTTCAACACAGGCAATGTAGTCATCCTTACCTTTCTCAGAGGCACTGAGCTTTATAAATATGAGCATGATAGTGTAGAACAATCATATCCAAGGTCCAGTGGTGGGTTTCAAAATTTTTTGGAACCCCTTCTGTAGGTTTGGCCTGCTTTCCGGGTCCACTGGTGGAACCTCTTATAACCGGTTCGGTAGATTTGACGAACCGGTTCTACCGAATAGGTGCGAACTGGTAGGAATCCACCCCTGGCGTGGGAGTACCGGAAAATGGAAGGGCTTCCAATTTTCAGCGTGCGCATGCACACCAGTCACCTGATCTTCCGGTTTCTGGTGCGCATGCACGGGCAAAGACCAACTGGCCTGCTGCATGCACGCCAGGGAGCTTCTCTTCCAGTTTCCGGCACACTTGTGCACGCAAAGACCAGCTGAACCGCACACATGTGCGTACTGGAACCCGGAAGAACAACAGGTGATGGATGCCGTGCCTAGATAGATGGCTCTGCATGCCACTTCCGGCACACGTGCCATAGGTTCGCCATCACAGAACTCTACAATATCACCCATCAAATATATTGTTTGAAGGTGTAACAAGTACCGTATTTTTCAGAGTATAAGACACACCTTTTTCCCTCAGAAAAGAGGCTGAAAATCTGGGTGCGTCTTATACACTGAATACAGCATTTTTTGCCTCCTAAAACCCCGTCCCTTCACCAAAATGGCCGTGCAGAGGCTTTAGGAGGCTTTCAGAGAGCTCCTGGGGGCTGGGGAGGGCTCAATTTTACCCCCACAGCCCCCAGGAGCACTCTATAAGCTTCCTAAAGGCTATCCGTGCCCTTTTTTTAACGAAAAAAAGGCCCGTTTTTAATGAAAATGGGCTGTTTTTTGCTTGATTTTGCCTCCCCCCCCCAGGAGCACTCTACAACCCCCCTAAAGGCTATCCATGCCTTTTCTTGGGGGGGGGGACGAGCCCGTTTTTGCAAAAAAACAGGCCATTTTTGGGAGGTTTGCCAAGTGCAAAAATTGCCTCTTCAAAACCTTGGTGCGTCTTATGCTCCGAAAAATAGGTTAATACATTTCCACCACTTTCTGGAGCAGAAATCAAAGCCTTTGGTTCAATTTTTTCCTGCTGGCTTGTCCCATCCGTTTGAAATAAACGTGGGCTTCTTAGGCCTAAACATCTTTTACCTTTCCCGCTTTCTGTTTCCTCTCAGGTCGTTGGCTTCTTCAACATGCTTCTGTGGGCTGGCGGCGCTTGGTTTGTCTACAAGGAAACTAACCTACATAGTCCTCCCTCCAGCGCTTCTCCGAACGCCACCAGTTCCCCGTCTCCTTCAGGGATGTGAAAGGCCTGAAAAAGCCTCGGATATGGAAAAACGCGCCTCGCCTCAGGATGATCCTCACGGCTGTTCCCTCCCCTCCCCTCCTCCATTGTGTAACTGATGTGTGAAAAATCGATGGGTTTCATGTGTCTGTTTTTTTGTTTTTGCTCCCATGCCGGGGACAGAACCGAAAGTGACATCAGGCACGAGAACCGTTGCGCTGCACGAAAGCTTGTTCTCTGCATTGAAAAAAGTGGGGTTTCACTGTTTCGGGTTTGAAGGCTTCCCCCCGTGTTAATAATAAAAGGTTGAGTGAGCAGCATTTCAACTGATGGAAGGCAGTTTGTCTTCTTGTGTATGATTAGAGTTGAGTTGTCCCGCTCGGTATGAAGTGCCACCTCTTTATCAGTGTATGCTTCCTTAGAAGGATGTTTCTCCCCCATTCCCTGAATTCAGTGGGGCTGGCTGTCAAGTAAGCATGCTTAGGATGTCTCCTCTGGATTCCCCAGAAGGGAGTTGCATTTAAAGTGTCCAGTTTTATACAAATCTTGCCTTTCTGACGGCTGTCCAGAATGCATAAGATGCCTGGACTTCACAGTCAGCTTACGTGCAACTCCAAATAACTAAAATTAAACCTTTGCATTATTCGCTCTTGGAAATTCTTTAAAACTAGGAAATTTACAATGCTACTAGTTGGTTCCCATGCCCTCCCCATCGCCTCCCCTGCAAAGACTTGGCTAACATGGCACAACATGGAGCCGTCTGCATCCCCTCCTTCCCTTGGTGCAACTGTTCTAAAAGAGGCCACTAAGTTGTAATCCTGAACGTTGTTGAATATTGTGATACCTGTGGGCAGTCATCTTCCAGATTGTATTTAATTAGCTTTTGAATGACACTTGAATTCAGATTAGGTTTCGGCCTGGCCTGGCCCTTCTCTTGCTTCTTTTCACAAGCCAGAATGGGTCTCCTCAAATGTAACTCGTAGGCTTATCATAGTTCGAAAATAATGGTGCAACCTTAACGCAGGAAGGCAGTTAATTCTGCTGATGTAGCCAGGAAACCTGCAGGAAAGGTGATGTCCGGTCACGGCTCCCAGTTGTTTGAAAGGAATCCTAAACAAAGAGCTTAATTTCTAGTCCTTCTGTCAGTCCAGACATCCTGTAGAATAGTGATCATCATCCCTCAAGGCTGTGAACTGATGCTTCTTCCTCTTAAAATATGTTCGATCCAACCCAAAGCAAAATCTATATGCCAAAGAATCGGGGCTGTACAGAAGCATGAAAAAAAAAACAAATTGCACCGTGAAGGAGGTTGCAATTGCTTACTTTTTTGTCAAGCGCCAGGAAATTCAGGAGACCCAGACAGCCCAAAAATGTATTGTAAGCTTGAGCTCTCTACAAGAATCTGAACTACTAAGGACCAAGGGAAATTAGCGGGAGATAAGAATAGAAGGAATTCAAGGTGGGCTGGACTTAAACCTCTTGTGGGCATGAAGGGACTCGAGACTGATGACGCATTTGATCCCTCCCTCAGGCTCACCCTGCCCATCTCCTACATTTTCTGGGTAAATCTCTGTACATTTTGTGATTGCAGAATTTGGTGGTTTTTCTGACATAATTTTGCAGAGACCTTGGTTTCAAAACTGTTCATCCAAATATTTGGCCTTCATTTTTTTTAAAAAATTGGCTAGAAGTTGAGGTTCTGTTTGTCACGTTGTCAAACACCAGAAACAGAGAGGCAGGATCTCTGGCAGTGAAAATGTATCTTGCATGGTTTTTATTTTATTATTTTAAATGCAGATATTTGTAGCTCAAGGTGGAATTGTAGAGTCCTTGGTGCTCTCTCAGCATGATGTTTTTCCTTGTAGACGTTTCATTACCACACTAGGTAATATTATCAGTGCATTTATGCTAACTTTTATCATTGCCGTGCATGCATTTGCCCCATTCACTGCTCTTTTGTTGTCTTGGTTGTGTCTTTACTACCAACTTGCTTTTGCCAAGGTGTGCGGCTGTGGAAATCCACAAACGTTTCCAATTGCAAACTTACATAAAGGACGTATGTGTGTGCTTTGGATTGATTTTTAAAATAATGGACAATGCGATCAGCCATATATCGATTTTTCTTTTGATTCCTATTCATGCCTAGATCTTAAGGTGCTTGTATGAGTTTTCCCCTTTTAATATGATTTGCATTTACTTTCTTCATGGTCTTTATTGGATTTACAATTGTTTTCATAGTAAGATGTTGCAGTTAAACCTTCACTTTTTATATTTTGTTAGGAACAGCATCTAATCTCCCCTCCCCCCCAATAGTCTACACTGTATAAGATCAACCTTTTGTAAAATCCATCTTAGTCTCATATCTCAGTGGTGGGGGGGGGAAATCACTGTTCTTAATTTTACTGCAGGACAGTGAAAACTAGGACTACAAGCTTCCTTATTTTTAAAAAATTGTTTCATCAAAATTAGGGAGATTATATCAAAAACCAGTGTCATGTTCTCACCATCGTACTTGTCTTACTATCTGTTTGTTCCTGGCTTGAGCAGAATATACATACGGGTGAAAGTAGGGGCGTAGGGATTGGACACTCATTTGTCTGAAACGATATAGGGTCCCTTGCTTGAGCAGAAGGCTGAACTAGAAAATCTCTAAGGTCCTTTCCAACTCTGTTATTCTGTTATTGCGCCAGAAAGAGAATTCTCACTTTTTAAAATAATAAGCTTTGGTTCTTCTAATAAAATTAAGGCTTTGGACATGACCTTTTCCAATCCATAGAGTCCCATCTTTTTTGCTACAGTATAGAATGAATAGGGACGCGGTGGCTCAGTGGCTAAGACGCTGAGCTTGTTGATCAGAAAGGTCGGCGGTTTGGCAGTTCGAATCCCTAGTGCCACGTAACAGTGAGCTCCCATTCAGTAGCTAAGACGCTGAGCTTGTTGATCAGAAAGGTCAGCATTTGGGCGGTTTGAATCCCTAGTTCCGCGTAACGGAGTGACCTCCCGTTACTTGTCCCAGCTTCTGCCAACCTAGCAGTTCGAAAGCACGTCAAAATGCAAGTAGAAAAATAGGAACCACCTTTGGTGGGAAGGTAACAGCATTCCGTGTGCGCCTTTGGCTTTTAGTCATGGTGGCCACGTGGCCACGGAGACGTCTTCGGGTAGCGCTGGCTCTTTGATTTTGAAACAGAGATGAGCATCGCCCCCTAGAATCGGGAACGACTAGCACATATGTGCGAGGAGAACCTTTATCTTTAGCTTATAGAATGAATATGCAAGTGTTGAATTTATGGACTGGAAACCACAAGAAAAGGCCTCCATTGCTGAGAGGAAGAAGGAGTTCTGGACCACTTTGAGAAGTCAGAGTTTATTACAGATAGTCCTTATTTAGTGACCACAAGGGGAGGTCACTGGCAGCCTTCCTGGTAAAACAGTCAAGGAAACATAACCAGCTGAGCGAATTCTACTTTATTATAAGGCTACCTTAACAGAATCTTGCAATCCTGAAAGTACAACTCTCCCGCTGTCTCTTTTACAGCTTGGGAAGTTCAGAAGGAGCCTTTCTGAGTTTCTTTCTCCGCCCATTAGGCAGCTAAGGTCTGTGCCTTCTTTTATCTGGCTGGTCTTGGCTGCGTCTCTCTCCAGCCCATCCCCTCCCCCGAAGTCATTCCCACATAACATTACATTTGCTAAGCGAAACATCATGTGACTGCAAAGGGCTTACAGTTTCGCTTCCCATTCAGTTGGGACGCACGGCATGATGAACAACTTGAAATTTTACCACTGGCTTCTGCTTATTGGAAGCCGGCAGTGAAGTGCGCAGGAGACTGGGACACTGCGAAAGTTCTAGATTCGACTTGTGTAAAGTGACTTTTTCAGTGTCGCTGAAACTTCAAAAGGTCTCTAAGCAGGACAGTCATTAAGTAAGATCTACCTGTAAGTAGAATCTTCCCTGACCCATCCTAGTTTTCCTGGATATTTACAAATCTTTCTGTGGCCAGTTGGTGGTACTGAAGGAAGTGGACGCTGACAACGTAGTTGGTCGTGACCATCCTAGCTGTGAAAACTGATCTCTTTGCACACAAATCCCTGACCAACATTGAATGAGTCTTCTTGAGGGCTGGGTGAAAGTATTCCAAAGAGACCCTTTGGCCTAAATTTGGAAGGCAGATACCAACGGGTGGGTGAAATTGCATCTCCTATTACATTGCGGACGTGAGAGGCCGTTTAGAATCTTGGTCTACGCTAGGACAATGTTTCTCAACCGTAGCAACTTCAAGATGAATAGACTTCAACTCCTGGCAGAGGAATTCAGGGAACTGAAGTCCACACATCTTAAAAGTTGCTAAGCTTGAGAGAAACACTGTTCTAGGATGTCGGGTTGACTTTCCTTCCCATAATTCCCCTAGGAGTCATCCCGGTGCAGCACTTTTCAGGGGCAGGATTATGGGAATGTCAGAATTATAGCTGGCTTGCCTTCTTCTTTTCAGCTGATTCCATCTTCTGCTCTGTTTGTTAAAATACCTTGCAGTTTTTCTCCCACCAAATGGAAATGACAGAGAAAAAAAAATGCTAGTTACAACTCACTCTGTAGAGCAAAAGCTAACCACGAGCGAGACCCTCCATCTAGATTCAGGTCTTGTACAGCAGTTCAGACACTGGATGCAATTAAAATCACATTTAGCTGTGCAGATTTGCTGTTTTTTTTTCCCTTGAAATGCTGAAAGCAAAAATATTTAGAAGGAAAATAATAATGCTTCAATAAAACAGAGCTTTCTCTACTGTATATTTTAATCACTTAATAAGTAGCGCCCTCTCCAAAATCCCTGTAAAGTAACACAAATAAAAGCTCATTTTATATGTTTTCCCTGTATATAAAGCTGTCTGCCCTATTCATTCATTTGCAGGGAATTCCATGTTTTACAACTATGGCCTTATATTCCTGATCCGCTTGAACACATTTGGAATTACAGTTGATGTGCCAATATATGCCTTTTGCATCTTGTTATGTTGAGACAGAGGCCAAATGCTTTGTTACATATATATTAAAGATGTTCACGTACACCTTGAGAGTTTCCTCCCGTCTCATCCGAATTATTTGGGAAATGTATGTGTGTCTGTGCACAACTGGTTTAATAAACATACTTTGCTCACTGATCAAACGTCTTCAGTTGCTCTTGGCTTTCTAGCTCAAAGAATTCACACAGTTTGGTTTTTAACATTTCTCTTTCATCACGCCTCTGTGCCCTTTTTCATCTGCCAGTTATCTGATTTTGTTTGAAAGCAGATAAGGAAGCAAAAGTGTTTGTTCTGAAAGTATCTGAACACAAAAATGCATTAAAGAAAAAATTGGGGGTGTGTGTGATGTGTTTGATAGCTTGTAGACAAGGTTTGAACGTAAACCTGAAGCCGAAGGGGTGGGGGGGTGTTAATTCCTGTGTAGGTCTATGAATAGCAGAGACAGGGAAATATATGGGAAGTCCATATGTGAACCTTTCTATAATTATCTTTAGTTGGCATGCCTAGAGAAGAGAACTGACAGGGACCAAAGTCACCCCCAAGTTAAGAATTGTCTGGACCATAGAGCTTATTGGGCAACCTTGAGGGGGTTATTTTTGGCCTAAACAAGGGGTTCTCAAACTTTGGGGCCCTCTCCTGTAAAGGGTATCTTTGGTTTCCAAGGGAGGTTCAGGGACCCCTCTTGTTGACACGGTTAAGAGGGCCATTTTAGCAGTCCTTGGCTTAACCGAGAAGTTCTCAAACTTGTGCGAGGCACGGATTCCCTGAAATAATATTTTTAGCACCTTCCCCTCACTAATAGAGCTCCTTGCTCAAAGAATGCTTTGGCAGCAAGCTGCATTAAGGCCAGATTTGTAAACCTAAACCTATATGCCATATGCTACTATATGCAGCCAAGAAATTAAAAGACACTTGCTCCTGGGGAGGAAAGCTATGGCAAATCTAGACAGCATATTAAAAAAACAGGGACATCACCCTGCCAGCAAAAGTGCATATAGTCAAGGCTATGGTTTTCCCAGTTGGAATGCATGGCTGTGAAAGATGGACCATAAGAAAGTCTGAGCACCAAAGAATTGAGGCCTTTGAACTCTGGTGCTGGAGA